ATTAATCTTCAGACTGAAAAATATTTTCAACTAACTATAATAGAAATTCTTAATGTTACTGAGGTCCTTCTGGATACTTTTTTGTATATAATTGGCATATGGAAGAATATATATTTCTTTATTCCACATTTTCATCATACTGTGACCATTCTTGTCAATATTTCCATATATATATATACATATACATACATACATATATATACATATACATACATACATATATATATATATATATATCAAAGGCAGTTTGATTACATTGAAAACAGTTGAATTGTATTGCCTATATTACTATTGTTGGAGAAAAGAATATTTTATTTATATTACTGATGGATAGGGTTTTAAAAAAATTCTTTATCTTTTACTGAAAATATGGTTTGTTGACCCTGTATTGTAAAGTGGCAGATGATAAATACCATGATCTCATCACACCACACAGTCTCTTTGGCAATGGTTCATCTCTGCTGTCAATGCATAAATGTGGGATATATATATGTTGTATTTTGGGTTGCAGGTCCCATGTTACTCTGTTTGTCTTTCTTGTATTACATTTACTTATTGTTGCAAAATCTACAGGAAAAGAGAAGTCATTTGTGTATGTTTATATCTACTTTCTCTATGTCAAATGATTAGATTCAAAGGAGTCCTGTTGGTAAGCATGATTGCAATTGTGTAGTATTTATGAAAAAGTTTAGGTCGCAACACCATTCATTTTTTAATATAATGGAATATGAAAACATAATTAGCTTTTCTACATTTTACAATTTCACACATATATTTTATACCCAATAAATACTGAAACTCATGTAATATCTATTTTATGTATATTTTATATCAAATAAATACATGAAATACCTCATATAGCAGTATTTTGAAGCACCAGAATGTGGCTTTTTAGTATACTATGACCTGCTTTTTTAAAAATTATGTTTCATTTATATGTTATATAGGATATATTATAATATACTAAAGATCATTGTTCTGTATCAGCTAGGTATACTTAATAACATACAGTATATACATTGTCCAAATGTAATAAAGTATTTTCAAAAGATTTTAAAAAGAGGAAAGATTGCTCAAGTCTTCTCCTGGTTGTTTCATGGCCAGTTTCGCACAAGTGTCAGGCAGGGGCACCCAATAATACTCTATCGTCTGATGAAGAAGGCTGATTTCTTCTCTCCAACATGCAAGTCTAATTTTTCTCCTTTTTGTAATATCCTCTCCAAAGAATACATCCTGTAACTCAGAGAGTCAGTCTAACATCAAGGTCCCTGTGTCAACTCCAGTGATATTTTCTTGGCAGTAGCTTTGGGCAGCTCAGATGCAAGAGACATGATGAATGAATGAATACAAGTCATATAGTCCTTAAACCAGGGCCTCTGCCCAGCAGGTGGTTGGCAGGCTCCCACTATTAGACATACAAAACTTGATCCATTCTATTCTAAACCCATCAATGCAGATCAAGAGAGGAGGTCTGGCAGTTGGTGCTCATTGGACTGATCCTTTGCCCTGGGCAAGAGCTTTGGCAGGAGCTGTCCTAACTCATCATACTCAAGGATCATCCTAGTAGAGATCACACAGGAACCTCAGACATAGAAAAGTTAAGTCTCAACCACTACACTTTGCCTACCTTGCAGCCTTCTCAAAGGTCAGCCTTTAAAATGCTGTAAGAATGGTCAAACTCCAAGTAGAACTTGTCCCTACTTGAGTGCATCTCCAAAGTCTCCTAGCCCCTGCCCACCATGTGGACACTGCTCCACGCTTGAGCAGCTGGAGCTTCCTGGTCTGTGACCTGAAATACATTGTTCAGTTGGCAAGTGTCTTCATGGGTGAGATGTGTCTTTTGTAGGCAGCACATAGCTAGGTCTTATTTTCTGACCCAATCTGCCAGTGTATGTCTTTCAGTTGGAGAGTTAAGCCTATTTACATTGAGTGTTAATTGTTGAAAAACATGTACTGATTCCTTTTGTGTGCTTGCTTCCTTTCTGTCTTCTTTTTGCTTAACTACTTTTCCAGTGAGATTCTTTCTCTTGTGCCCTTGAGTTGTTTTCCTCCTTGTCTCTAGGATTATCTTAAGTATTTTCTGCAGTGCTGGTTTGGTGGTCATGAGTTTCTTTAGTTTATCATGGGATGTTTTTACTTCTCAATCAATTTTGAAGGATACTTTTGAATGATATAGTAATCTGGGTTAGCAATTGTTTTGTTTCAGGGCTTGAAAATCTTCACTCCAAGCTCTCCTTAGCCTTTTAGGTTTGTATTGAGAAATCTATTATTCTGACAGCTTTACTCTTATAGGTGATTTGGTACTTTTCTCTAACCGCTTTTAGTATTCTTTCTTTGTTCTGAGTTTCTGGGATTTTGACTATGATATGTTGTGAAGCAGTTCTCCTTTTTTTGATCAAAACATCCATTCTTTGAGAAAAATAAGAGAAATAAATTTATCAACTAGAGTAAAAGTTGGTAAATTCTTTCTTTTTTCCTTTCTTTCTTTCTTGGTACTGGGGATCAAATTCAAGGCCTTGTGCTTGTTAAACAGGTGCTGTGCCAGGCAAATTCTTTCCTAAAAGGCTAGGTAGTAAATATTTTAGGTTTTTCAGGCTATATTGTCTCTGTTTCCACTACTCAGCTCTGTTACTGTACCTTGAAAGCAGTAGTACATGGTGTATAAACATAGCTGGACTGTGTTCCAATAAAACTTTACAAGGACAATTGGACAGTTCACGGACTATAGTTTGTTAATCCCTGAAGAACAGTGTGTATGCTTATTTTAGTATTTAGGTTTACAATATCCGGTCAAAGCAGTTTTCTGAGCCAACTTCTCTCTTTATCCCTTTTAGTATGGTTATATGATTCATTTGCAGTGCAGTTAGTCTCATTTTTCAGTCTGTAGTTCATTTTTCTTATATACTTTAGTTGATTTTTTAATATTTTTTGGAGAGGATACCAGGAACCAAACTAAGGACCTTGTGCTTGCCAGGCATGTGCTTGATTTTTTAAATTTACTTTTTATGGTATACAATTTCATAGGTATTTACAAACTATACAGAGTCATGAAGCTACCAGCACAGTTCTATAGAGAGCTACTCCATTACCTTCAAAATTCTCCAGTGTTGCATATTTATAGACAATCTCTCCTCTCAACTTCTAGAGACATTAATCTCTTTTCCCTCTTCACTCTTGCCTTTTCCAAAGTGTCATAAAGTAGAATAAGTAGAATTGTACAACAATGTAGTCATCTGATTCTTTTTTTTCTCTTCGAAAAACATATATGAGTCACCCATATTATCACATAAATCAGTAGTTCGCTTTAATTATTGGATAGTACTTCACTGGAATGCATTGTAATTTGTATATACTTTTATTGAAGGGTGTTTCCAGGGGTTCTTTGAAATTATGTCTAAAACTTCTATAAATACTTGTGTACATATTTCTATGTAAAACTGAGTTTTCATTTCTGTAGCACGGGTATCTATGGATGAAGTTATTAGGTCATATACATGTATAAATTTGTAAAAAAAATAGTTAAACCATTTTCCCAAGTAGATATCTCATTTTGCATTCCCATCAGTACTAACTGTAGAAAGTAGAAGCTTTTTAAAAAGTATTTGATGTATTTCCACCCACATAAAATTCGCCAAGTCATGATGGCAGTGGTCCAACATGATGAAAGACAAATGAAAGTTTATCAGACTTCTTCTTTTTTGTCCCCTCAGCCCAAAACAGACTTCCTGCTTTCTCTTTGGCATGTACCAAAGCTCCTTCAATCCACTGCTGATATGACCTCTTAACCTGTCCTTCAAAGTCTTCCCAATCAGACCTAATAAAAGCTTGCTCACCCCTTTATTCTTTTTTTTTTTTTTTTATTTAAGAGGAAAAAGAGAAAAACACAAAACAAACCAAAGCGGCGTAAGGGTACACGCAATACAGAACTACAAAACAAAACAAAACAAAACAAAACAAAAAACCATAACAGTAAGAAATTACCTGCTAGTAGATTACACACTATTTTCTTGAAAATAGTTCCTCAAATCACAGTATCAAAGAACACAAGGTGGACATTCAAACAGGGAGACTGCAAACAGCTGTGTTCAATGTTCCAAAAACATTGATAAAGTCAGCTATTTAACACCCCCAAACACACTTGCTGTTATATCCGTTAGAGCTCCTTTTCTTTTTTTTTTTTTCCCTCTCTTTTTTACAACAAAATTTACACATCTTGGATTTTATTACTCCTTAGTGCTTATTACTTTCTTGGGGGGGGGAAGAATACAGTCAAATATGGCAAAACAAAGCTGTCAGTCAATACCAAGGATAGACGTAGCACATGGTGTAGAACAGAGTACAAGTTTATCAACAATGGTTATCAACGTTGTCCCTTGTTTCCTTAAAAAGAATTGTCTATCTTATTAGATATTATAAAGTTGGACAAAACAGTAGAGAACAAGACCAATAAAACTTAGGCATTGTAAACATTACAGGACTTCCAAAGAAGACAATAGTCAAACCAGAATGGGTATCTTAGTGAATCTTATTGTCTTCAAAGTAGTTGCCTATGTCTTCAAACTTGATACTATCATATAGAATGGAACAGAGTCTAATCAGTCAAAACAAGATCGTGGGAGTACTACAGGACTTCAAAACAAGTTAATAGGAAATCAAAAAGAGTTACTATTTATATATCCTAATTTTTTTTGAATGTTTTCTTTAATTAAGACAAACATAAGAAATGACTAAATAATTTTTTTTGAAACAATAATCACCCCTTTATTCTTTCATTGGGTACTTGCATTTCTCCTGCAGCCCTCCCCTACCCACAGTAAAGGCCTCCTTGTCTCTGTCTCTGTCTCTCAATAGTGTCAAAAAACCTAACAGCATTTAGAAGAGGATAATTCTAAAAATAGAAATTTCTTCAATTCACTGATGCAGGTCATACTTAAGGTCCTCAAAAGGCACTAAATTTCTTCATAAAATCACAGTCTTAAAGAGAGCACATATAGATTCACCTGAAGCTTGGTGATGATTTCCTGTTTTGTCAGCTCCACCAACTGGCTATCTTCAACAGCAAAGGCCGGGTAGGAAATTACGGAGAGCAGACTAGCATCAACCTCTTTGGATGTTGAAGCCCGGGGCAGTAGTGAATTAAGGATAGACTAAGAGAGAAGAAGACAAACATGATACATTACCCAAAACTTCAACATTGTAAAACTGGCAGCTTTAATTTCAGAAGATTTATGAGGAAGATCTTTCAGAAGAAAATTTAAACATTCACTAGCAAAAGCATTAAAAACTTGTTAGTTTTGTAGATTATCCCTTGTTTTAATACTTTTCTTAGTGCTTCCCCATCCTGATTCTTAGAGCTGCTCATGGATAAAATCTATTCTCACATCATTCTCACGCACAGTCCTATTGTTCCATTAGCAGCCATTTAAGGATAGAATTAAGACAAAATATAGCTGCTGATAAGCAGGATTGGGAGGGCTCAGCTCCAATGCTGCTGAAATACACTTTTTCCATGGAAAATTTTCAAATCAGAAGGTGAGTTGATATTCATTAGCATACCAATAGTCTCTAATCAGAGTTTGAAGAAAAAGAAAGATTAATTGTGCCAGTGAGAAAAACTTTAATCACTGAATAACAAGAATATTCCTAAACAAAACTTAAGATACATATTTGCCCCACTAATAGTCTGAACAGTCTAATCTCCAAATATGTGACCCGGAGGCAACCAGGGATCCGAAAATATTTTAGAGCCACTGTCAATATTTGAAATCTGTTATCCTCTGATCTGTCTGGGTATTTATAAAAGGATATTCTTGTTTGAATTATTTTCTTGATACTGGGGATTGAACTCATGACCTCATACTTACCAGGCAAGCCTTTGAGCCAATGAGCTAAATCCCTGGACCAGTAAAGGATATTCTTAGGAAGAATGATAGAATGATAGCAGTGGAGAATTTCACTTACTATGGTGGAGTTCTTTTAAAACTTTAGATGAGAGAACAGGACTATGATCTACTTTATAGCTGCTGTTCTCAGGTTTATCTCATTATTGGATGCTTAATAAAAATATTTGCTGGCACATGGCAATGGCACAATAAATGCCTGCACATGACAGCAAGTTAGCTGTCCTTTAGCTCTCTTTATTCTATTGTCCTTGCTAAGCTGGAATCTGAATAAGAATAAATTTTGATATAACATGGTCTATTATTTCCTTACCTGACAGTGTTGTACTTCATCAGGTAGGACATGGATAACTGACTGGGGCCCACCTTTCACACCAAATAAGTCCAGCTCATCTAGTGCTTCCAGAGCTGCCTATGAAAAGAAATGAAAGAAACAATAGCTTCAAAATTAGAACACTATACAACTCTGAATTAAAGGACCTAACTCAGCAGTAAAGCATGCACAAGACACTGATCCAACTATCAGCACTGCCAAAAAAGTTATATGTTTCTTATTCGTGTACTATCTTAAGTCTCATATATATATATATATATATAAAAGAATATATATATATATATATATATATATATATATTCTTTTCCCTTCTTTTCTACATTCCTTCATCCCAGTTTCTCTTTCCTTTTGAAGCTTTTTCCCATTTTATGATATCCATTGTACCTTTTGTATCTTATTTACTCTTTCAGCTTCCCACACTAGGGAGACATATGACGTTTACACATGTCCATCTGGATTATTTCACTTATGAATATGATCTCAAATTGCATCCATTTGCCTATAAAAGTCTCCAGTTTATCCTTCTTCATGGCTGAGTGCTACTCCACTGTGTAAAAAGACCACATCTTTTTTATCCATTCCTTGGTTGATGAGCATTTGAATTGTTTTCAAGATCTAGCTATCACAAATTGTGCTGCTATAAACATGGGTCCCCATGTATTGCTATGGTAAGTTTTTAATTCTTCTGGGAAGATATCCAGAATGGGTCTAGCTGGGTCAAATGGGACCTCAAATCGTAGTCTTCTGAGGAATCTCCACATTGATTTTCACAATGGTTGCACCAATCTACATTTGCACCAACAGTGAAGTGTTTCTTGTCCCCCACACCCACTCTTGCATCTGTTATTGGTTCATTTCTTAGTTTTTTTTTTATTTAAAGAATGAAAGAAAAGAAAAAAATAGAAAAAAGAATAATATAGAATTCAAAAAAATTAACATCATAAAATTGCTAGTTGATACATTACATATTGTCATCTTAAAAGTAATTGTTAAAGTTAAAAAATCAAAGCACAAAAAGTAGCTAGACACTCAAACATTGACAGTGCAAACCATTCTGTTCAATGATCTAACAGAAATTTACTACTCTCTACTTCTGAGTGTGACTTTGTAAGATTGTGCATAAAAGTGAGATTCATATTTTAATAGAATTTATTAATTTCTTGCTTTTCTAAATATCTTTTCTGATCATAAAACAAAATATACTGCTTATAGAATATTTTGAAATCATATTAAAGTATTAAGAGTGATGGAAATCACCTAAAACACTCCTTAATACTTTGACATGTTTCTTTTTAGTTTTTTCTATGCATTTTTGTATATAATTGAACCACATCTGGTTTCTTACTTTTTACAATTAATAACATAACATGACATAACATTTTTTCATATCATAAAAACTATTTTGTAATGATAATCTCTCATATAGTTGTAATAAACTGTATTTAGCCATTTATATATTACTAGAAATTTAAGTAATCTTTAACTTGTTGCTATTAGAAATAGCACTTTGAGAACCATCTCTTTCTAAATTATAAATTCTTTGACATCAGAGATTGTGTTTTCACCAGTACCTAGCACATAGCATGGCATCCATTAGGTTTGTTGTCAAACTAGCAAATGATTATTTTTCATTATGAGTTTTTTTGTGAACATTAGTTCTCTGAAGTAGATCATTGGATCAAAGGCTAAGAATGATATATATATTTTTTGGTACTGGGGATCAAGCTCTCAGCCTTGCACTTGCCAGGCGGGCGCTTCTGTGACTGAGCTAAATAGCCAGCATGAATGATTTTGATACATAAAGCTCAATCACTTTTAATGTATATTACTGCAATATAATGATCACTAGTACAATGTATGACCATACCTTCCTTAACGCAAACAAAATATTTAGTGTCTGTTTTTTTTTTTTTTTTTTTTTTTTTTTGTACCGGGGATGGAACTCAGCACCTTGTACTTGCCAGGCAAGCATTTACACTGCTGAGCTAAATCCCTGGCCCTAAAAAAATATTTAATTTTTGAAGGCTGGTTATTACTTCAAATATTCATTAGTTATTTGTAGTTCCACAATTATGAAACAGACATGACCTAGTTTTGGGAATAGACAATAGTTTTGGAATGGTTCTCTAAATAAATGATACTTAAGTGAGATCTAAAGGATAAGCAGAAATTGAAAAGGCACAAAATATTCATTAACAAAGAAAGGAAAGGCCACCCCACTGCCCTCGAACCCCAGACTTCAGGCAGGGAGGGAAGGCCATTCCACACCTGCCATCCCTCTGCTCTGGTACTCTGGACTTCCATCATGGAGGTGAAGCTGCTTCTACACCTGGTGTCCACTGGTTTTGGACCCTGGATCTCAAGCACGGAGGACAGGCTGCTTCCGAGTCCACTATCCTGCCCTAGGGGACCTCCCCAACCTCCTGGACCTAGTATAACTGTTGATCTTTGGCTCCCACTGTTCCTCCCAGAAACTTGGACTGCAGTGGATTAACCATTCTAGGTTGATGGGAGACTCAGTAACCCCTCACCCAAACAGAAGACCTCAGCAGGCTTCTGTCAGTGTGGTGAGTTTGCCCTAAAGCAGAGATCTTCAGTGGGTAAATAGGAGCAGTAGTGAAGCACTCTCCTCCTCTTGTAAGACCTTGGAGAGCCTGGCAAGAGTGTGGGGGAGTCCTTCCTTCACACAGAGAATATCAGGTGCATTCAGGAGTGTGCCAATAAGGCCTCCCCCAACCTGGATAAAATTGAAAGGGCTTATGAGACACCTGGTGACAGAGCAGGGTGCCAGTTGAGACAAATACTATAGACAGGGAGATCTAGTGGCCCAGAACAACCTGAAGACACAGTGAAAGTGGAAACTAAGGGTTGACTTACATCAATACTCCTAAGCTAATCAGCCTAGGAAGAATACCAGACTCACCCAACAGGCCCTGCAGGGGGAATTCAGGTGACTGGCCCTCCTCATCATTGTGGTACCCAGCAATTGGACAAATATCAACCACACATAGGACCCTAAGATACACACTACTGACAATTGAGACTAGTGGGATTGAAAGACCAAATATTAGCCTGAAAGGTGAAAATGACAAAACAAAAAAGCAAAATGCAATATTAAACATCTAGTCCATCAGGAGCAAGTACAGGAGACACTGAAATAGATGATTTTAAAAGTCACACACAAAAAATCTCTGAAAAGATAGCAAGTGAAATAAAGAAACAAATCCATGAGGCTATAGAGGAAATCAAATTAGGAATAGTTTCTCATGTAAGGACAAAAACAACAACCTTAGTAAAGGAGTTGCTCAGCATAGCTAGAGAAGAAATAGATGAAAAAAAAGTACAGGAGCATGGGAAACTTATTGAAACCTTGAATCAACAATATAGAAAACAAGCAGAATCCATGAAACAAATTGAAAGAGATATCCAAGAAACAAAAAATTCTATTGAAAGCTGGAAAAACCATTTAAATGAATCTAAGGATAGAATTGCAGACCTTGAGGACAGGATCACAGTTAGTGATCATGAAAGGAGAGAATTTCTAAAAATAACAAAGCAGCATGAAGTGACAATCCAGCAGCTTCAAGATCATGCCAAGAGAAACAATCTAAGACTAATAGGGAGCAGTGAAGATGCAGGAGTCAATGCAAATCACTTCAGTAAACTATTCACAGAAGTAGTAGCAGAAAATTTCCCAAACATGGGGAAAAATCTGATATACAGGTAAGTGAGGCATATAGAGTGCCAAACAGTCACAACCAACATAAGTCTACACCCAGACATATAATAAAAACAGAATACTAAAAGCTGTTAGAGAAAAGACACAACTCACCTATTAAGGAAAGCCCATCAGAATCACAGCAGGCTTTTCAGCACAAACCCTCAAGTTAAGATGAGCTTGGAGTTAAGTATTTCAAGCCCTAAAAGAAAACAACTTTCAACCCAGATTGATGTATCCAGAAAAACTTTCTTTCAAATTTAATGGAGAAACAAGATACTATCACGACAAAGAATAACTGAAGAAATTCATGTCCATCAAACCAACTCTAGAAAGAGTACTAAAAACATACCAGATAGAGATAAAAATCATCACAATCACCAGAACAACAACAGAAAGAAACCACCATGCAGGGGAAGCAATTAAACAAGGAAAGAAAGCAGAAAAACAGCAATAGGAACATAATATGACAAAGTTGAGCCAGTACATATCAGTTTTATCCATAAATGTAGATGGATTCAATTCACCTTTTGAGAGAAATAGACTGACAGAATAATGGATCAAGAAACATGGTCCCACAATATGCTGTATACAAGAAACACATCTGGCTGAAAAAGAAACTCATAGATTAAAAATCAAAGGATGGAAAACAGTATTCCATGCAACAGGAATCCAGAAAAAAGCAGCAGTAGCTATTCTGTTTGCAGACAATGTGAAATTGAAACCTAAAATGATTAAAAGAGATAAAGAAGGTCACCACATTCTTGTTAGTGGAAAAATTCAAGAGGAAGAACTAACTATTACATATATATATATATATATATATATATATATATATATGGCATGAAATACAGGATCACCCAAATATGCAAGACAAATACTAATGCACATGGAAAAACCAAATACACAAGAACACATTTGTATAGGGGACATTAATACCCTATTGTCCCAAAGAGATAGATCAACTAGACAAAAAGTCAGCAAAGAAATAACAGAACTGAATCATACCTGTGAGCAAATGAACTTAGTAGATGTTTACAGAGTGTTCCACCCAACCACATCAGAATACACATTCTTCTCAGGTACATATGGGACATTCTCCAAAATAGAACATATATTAGCCCATAAAACATTTTTAAGTAAATGCAAAGGTATTGAAATTGTCCTGTGTATATTATCTCACCATAGTGCACTTAATTAGAAATTAATGGTAAAAAATTGCAAAACTTGTGTAAATGCTTGGAAATTAAATAACAACCTTCTGAACAATCAGTGGGTAACAGGTGAAATTAAAGAATTAAGCAATACCTACAATTCAATGAAAATGTGTATTTAACATACTGAATCCTGAGGGAAGCAA